AGAAGATGAGCTCAGAACTCGTGTAAGTGTGGTGCCTCTCGAACTTGTGTGTGAGTCTAGTTTTAATAAGGGCTGCAGTGGCTTCTGAAGTGCATCAACATTTGAGGGTCCCTGGGTGATGCAAGTGGTTAAGCGCTTGGCTATTAACAGAAAGGTTGAATGTTCATACCTTCCCAGAGGCACCTTGGAAGATAGGCCTGGAGATCTGCTTCTGAACTGTCACAGCCTTGAAAACCCTGATGGAGCCCAGTTCTACATGGGGTTGTCATGAGCTGGACTCAACTCAATGGCAGCTAGTTTTTTGTTTTTTTTTTGTTTTTTTTTAATTTAGGGGCTATGACTGGTTCAGGCCCTTCTGTGCTTTTATGTTGTTGTTAGCCGGACTCATGGCAACCCCAATGCACAACGGAACATTGTCTGGTTCTGTGCCATCTCCATGATTGGTTGTGGCTCAGACTGTTGTAATCCATAGGGTTTTCACTGGCTAATTTTTGGAAGTAGATTACCAAGCCTTTCTTCATAGTCTGTCTTAGTCGGGAAACTACTAAAACATGTTCGGCATCATAGCAACTGACGGATGGATGGTGGCTGCACTTGAGGTGCATTGGCCAGGAATTGAACCCTGGCCTCCCACATGGAAGGTGAGAATTATACCACTGAACCACTGCTCCTCTGTGTCTTTACCATACTCCCTATATTTGTGGTCATTTCAGATCCTGGTCTGTTGTACCCACAACAACAAAAAGATACAACTTGTACCATTTCAATCTGATTCAATAAGATATTTTCCAGAAGAGGTCTGAAATGAACAGGAACTGGAAGTATCCATCGATTTGTTGTTTGAGCAGAATCGAGATCTTGACACCCCCTGACCCCCATTTCCACCAAGCTTGGACATGTGTTGGCCAGAGGCTGTGCTTTGGGGCACAAACAGTGGGGAGGCTGAAAGCCCCAGAAGGAATATTCTGGAACTTCTGACTTAACTCTTCTGAGAAAGGCAGCTTGTTATTGCTGGAAGCCTGAAGACTAATGCTTGTGAGCTTATCATTAAAGAGAACACAACACGGAAAAAGAGGGGAAGGGATGGAGCAACGCAGCTGCCTTCCTGTGTGATTTTGGCATGTTACTTTCTCCTCTTCTCTGAGCTTTAGATTCCTTATCTGTGAGGTGTGGACCCCTGGTGGTGCAGCGGTTAAGTGACACAGCTGCCAACCAAAGGTTGCAAGTTCAAATCACCAGCCGCTCCTTTGAAACCCAATGGGGCAGTTCTAGTCTGTCCTCTAGGGTCGGTATGGGTCGGAATTGACTCGATGGCAACGGGTTACCTGTTTGAGTTTCTGATTGTGTAAGGTAACCCAGGCCCTCTTGTACCAGCCTCCTAGAGAGCTACCCATACAGACTTTCTTGGGATTCCCGACCAGGTGAATTAGTCTTCTCCTTCTCCCTCCCTCTTTCCTTGCCCCCCAGGGTCCTCACCTCCCCTAACAACTATTTTCTCTCTGGAACACCAGGCTTCCTGCTCTTTCCTGCTTAGGTTACCCTAAGAACTCACGCCCAGGACTTAATGGAGGAAGGTCTGACTCCCTCTGCAAATGCCCTTCTAGCCTCTCTTAAAACATTGGGGCTTTTAATATGAGCTTCATGACAATCCATCCCTTAACCAAACAATTGTTTCTGGGACTATTAGGTGAGGCAGGAGTCGAAGGAGCATGTTTCCAGGCTAGTGGAGATAGACACCGCTTCCCACCCTCCACATACACACCTGGGTGAATCTGGTGTCCCTTGTCCTAAGTAACCCATGGCGGGGGGGTATCCCACGCCCAAGGCTGTGGTCCTTGCACTGGGTTCTGAGCAACTTAGAGGAGCTTCAGGTCTATAGATATATGGCTGAATTTTTATTGTTAAAACATTTTAAAACTAATTTAAGATGGAAATAAAAATTAACACTCAAATGTGTCATATGTATCTAACTCAAACGTACAGGGAAGACCTGGGGTTTCCAGCCACAGATAAAGCCAAGCAGATACGTCTGCAGGGGTCTTGAGTTAGGTGGGCCCCAGAGCCAGTGAGACTTGACCATGTCTCCTTTAGCTTGGGACAGACTGATGGTGCCCTGGAGCCGGAACTGGGGTGGTCTCCAGGGAGCCAGGCAAATGTCTGCTCTCAGGTCAGTCTTACCATGTCATTCTGTTGCCCATGTTTTCAAAAGTAGGAAAACTAACTTTGTGTAAACCATCCATGCGTACCCACAAGCCCAGCTCCCTGCCCAGGAGAAGTGGACTTAGGAATGTGAACGGTGGGGCATGAAGCATTTGATTCCTTCTTTACCGAAGCCGAGGGAGCCGGCGGGTGAGGATGGCTAATGGTGACATTGTTTGGGGGAAAAGAGCACAATTAGGCTCTGGATGGACTTTGCTGCTTTTAACTTTTTCTTTTTTCTTGATTCTTGGTCAAGGAGGCGGCCAAGCGTCAGGCCACTTCAGCCCAGGTAACTGTCATCAGTCGCTCTAAGGTGGCAATAGCTCAGGGGCTTGGGTTTGTTTACTCAATCCCTCTGCTCTCAGGCTTCCCTGTGTTTAACCTAGACTTAGTGAATAAAAAAGTGAATACATCTCCAACAGATGAAGATTTAATCACAGTTCTCTAGCGTGCAATTCCAAGGCCTCAACTGAGAGCCAATTTCACTCTTAATGTTAGGAAATCTCTCTTTGTGTCTCCACCCTAACGCTTTCAAGATTCAACTCAAATTCGTTCTTTCTGATTTACTTGGGGGCTTCAATGTATTTTATGGAGCCTCTCCCTCTTAGTCTCAATACTGCTGTGACCACTGATTGATCTTTTATTTGATGCCCACCGGGACTCTTGAAAGAAGTCCCTGGGTGGTGCAAATGGTTAAGCACTTGGCTGCTAACCAAAAGGCTGGCAGTTTGAGTCCACCCAGAGGCACCTCAGAAGAAAGGCCTGGTGATCTTCTGAAAAATCAGCCACTGAAAACCCTATGGAGCACAGTTCTACTCTGACACATATGGGGTCGCCATGAGTCAGAATCAACAGCAACAGGTTTAGTTTGGGGGCTCTTAAGATGACATATCAGTCCTGGATAAGGCCCAGTGAGTACCTTACACCCTTGATGAAGGCTTGCACACTTTCTAGGGTGAGATTGTGGAGGATAAGCAAGAAGAGAGCAATCCAAGTGGTAAAATAATGTTTTATTTCATGGATGAACAAACGCTACCATGCCATATCCTCACTTCCCTCCTACCAGACCTTGTGGCCAGAGCTGGCTGGCTTCCCCTTTCAGACCACGTTGGCTTTGTAGTCGGTCAAGCCCACTGAAACAGCAAAAGCTGCACACGTAGCATTCAGATCTGTCCAGTTTGTCTGCATGTTAGTCCTCTTCACAAATGACGGTGTATCATCTTAAAAAATCCTATGACGGGGATCTTCCAATTGACCTAACATTCAAAGCTCATGTGGATGAAACCAAAACCCAAAACATCAAAAAGCAACATGGACATATCTTCTCTGCCGACAAGATGTCAAGGACACTCACAGCAGGGCCAGGAACTGGAGAAATTAGTCCTGACATTCAGGTCATCAACAAGCTCAAAAGGAAATGACAGGAACGGATATATTTCAAACTATCACTTCTAAAGAGTTCAGATCAGCCAAAGAGTGTTAGCATGCATGCTAAACACAAGATTAGTACTGGTGGGCATGGGCAGGGGACAACTGCACAATGACGGACACACATTCCTTTCTTATATACAACAAAATGAAATATACACTGGGGGTACTGGCTGTATATTTGGTGAAAGGATAGCTCACAAGGCTAACGTGGAACATCAACCTTACTGCTCGCAGCAGGGAGAGGGCAATGGAGCAATCCCGGGACGAGAGACCGTGGCTGGCTCATCCCCACATGTTCCTAGAGACCCCTGGGACCCTGGCACACCCCATGGACCTGGGGGTGGAATCAAAGCTGTGTCTTTTTTGTTTCATAGCCAAATTCCATCTGAAAAGACTTGACAACTTACTGAGGAGGACAAGGATGGTTTAGGGAGATATGCAGATGGACAATGGTGAATCTACAGCCACGCCTCAGTGCGGCTCTATGGGAGGGCAGTGCTCTTTATTTACTTTATTAATGAATACTATCGAATGTTTTATCCCCTCAGCTTTTTGAAATGTCTCCACAAAGTCTGAAGACAACCCTTAGGAGAGAGCAGTTACTTCTGATCTGTTTCTCCGTCCAAAAAGCAGAAAGGCTACACACTGACTGAAGAAAACAAAGCAAAACAAAATGAGAACAAAACAAGGCAAGACAACCCCATGACAAGAGACAATGGAGGGTCAGGGAAAACCATAGAAAAATACAAATTAACTCCGTAAGGTTAACCATTAGCATAGCTATAGCAATACTTTGTACAGAAGGAGGTCTGTCTTCTTCGTGCAGCCCCTTAGCAATGTGGAATCTTCTAATTACAGAAAGGAGCGAGCCGGTCGTGAACATGTACTGTTACAATAATTGTGCTGTACTTGTGGTTTCCATGGCACAGTTACGTGGGACAGGATGTGATGCTGCTACGGTGAACGTGGTACTCTAAAGTAGATGGTGGGTCTTAATGCTACTGCTTAATAGCTTGAATTTAAGGGCCAGTTTCTTCCAGGCCTCAAAGCAGGCCTTCGCTACCATTGATCCTCACGCTTTGTTCCATGTGGGAGGGGCCGTCTGATCCAGCAGTTGCTCTGGGGCCAAGAGGAGGCGATGTCACTGAGGCCAAGTTGTCTTGAACTGGGCAAGCGTGATGATGTACCTCCAGCCAGGAAGGAGCTTGTTTCCGGAGCAAAACTGCCTTGGTCTCTGAGACACACATGCTATGGAACGTAACACTCTGGCCCCCGCCCCAGACCTCTGAGGGAAGAGAGGGGCAGGGGAAATTTCTCAGTTGCATACTGTTATAGAAAGAGCCTCACTTGTGCTTAGGGCTGACCCAGGGTTAGTCCTCTTCCTCATCCTCTTTCGTTGTGACTGTGGGGAGTTTGTCTTGAATCCTGAAGCACTCCACAAAGAAGCTGATGATGGAGCGGTACAGGTGCTGTTTGAGGAAGGCGCTATGGAAGTAATGGCTTTCATCAGGGTAGATCTGCAAGGAAGGCACGAGAAGTTACTCATGGTCTAACCTCCCCCTGGGGGCTGGGAAAAGTATTTCCTCCAGGATGTACATAAAATATGGGGCCTAATAAAACCCAGGGCCCACATATCTCTGAATTTTAACTGACGAAAATAATTTTATCAACCAGTCGGGTCCCGATGTAAATGCCTCCTCCTCCTCCTCAAGGTTCTGCCCAGCAGCCCAGGAAGAAGGGGCCTCACCTGCCCACTGTGGCATGGAAATGAGCCTAGTTAAGAAGCCGTCCAGTCTCCTCCACACCACTACCCCTCAAGAGATCTAGCACTTGCCACATGCAATGGGCACTCGGAAAACTGGCTGGATAAATTAGAAGCACATCACAGGACAAACTCATTACAGTCTGGGCTTGCTTGTTTGAATCTGCAACATGGATACATGCTCAGGGCCTACGGAGGCAGCAGGACTGGAGGGCATCAGGACTCCAAGAAGAAATGGAAAGAATTCTGTGCTTTCTCTATCACCTTTACAAATGCAGGAAACCTTCTGCTTATGTGCTGCGTCCTATAGTCCTGCGTCTCTGGGGCCAGACCAATCCTGGCTTGGCTATTCACTCACCATGTGACAAGTTAACTTTCCTGGGCTCAGTGTCCAGTTGTATCAAGTGGGGATGATGATAACAGGTAAGACTTAGCTCATAAAGTTGTCTGAGAGTTACATGATATAATACCTTTAAAGTGATTAGAACAAGGCCTGGCACACCAAAAAACCAAACTCGTTGCCGGTGAGTCAATTCTGACTCATAGCGACCCTAAAGGACAGGGCAGAACTGCCCCATAGAGTTTCCAAGGAGTGCTTGGTGAATTCAAACTGCTGACCTTTTGGTTAGCAGCAGTAGCACTTAACCACTACACCACCAGGATTTCCATGGAAGTGCTAAAAAAGATGGTAGGTAATTATTATATTTGGAGTCCCTGTGTAGTACAAACAGTTAAGCTCTTGGATACTAACTGAAAGGTTGGTCATTTGAATCTACCCAGAGGCATGATAAAGAAAGGCCAGGTGGTCTACTTCCGAAAAATCAGCCATTGAAAACCCTATGGAGCACAGTTGTACTCTGACACACTTTGGGTCACTGTGAGTTGGAATCAAATTGATGGCAACTGGTAAATATTATATTACCAATGTAATGACACCTTCTATACCACAGGGGGAAACGCTTGTGGCGTAGCGGTTAAGAGTTCAGCTGCTAACCAAAAGGTCGGCAGTTCGAATCCATGAGGCACTCCTTGGAAACCCTGTGGGGCAGTTCTACTCTGTCCTATAGGGTCATTATGAGTTGGAATCGACTCGACGGCAACGTGTTTGGTTTATACCATAGGGGGCGCTGTGTCATTTCACACAAAGGTACATGGCCCAGCATGGATTCAAATTCAAGTCTGTCTGACTCTGAAGCCCACACTTTCCATGGTACCAGACTGCTGCCTGCATTTTGAATCCTGTCTTCGTCTTACCTCTTTGGAGGATGGCATTCACCTTTATTTCAAAGTATTTATTAATGATGTAATTAAACTACCATATGCACATTAAAACATCAAATAGCACAAAAGCATACAGAGTAAGAAGTATACCTCCCACCTACCCCAGTCCCCAATTCCTCTGCCCTTACCCAGAGTTAACTATTACTATAAATTCTTTGAGTGTTTGTTCTAGATATTCTTTGTGCTTGCATGCCTGGCAGAGTGTGTGGGTCCCTTTTACCCATACGGATGGAGGATGATGTGCATACTGTTGAACCCCTGCTGGTCTACCTTAGCTGGGTATCTTGGAGAGCGACCCACTTCAGCACAGACAGATCTACCTCTTTATCTGCAATGGCCGCATTGTGCATGTCTGTAAAATGCATTAATAGTGCCATGGCAACTATTACATTTACTATGATCTGAAAATTTTCAGAAGCACATTCAAATTTAATATTAACGAAGACGTTCCTTCCCCATTCACTAACACTTGGGCTAACCTCCCTTCTTTCAGGAAGCTCTCCAGCTGACCAGCTCAGCCCACCTGCCCAGAGAGGCCAGGAGCTGGGAGACAAAGGTGGGGGGTCGTGCTGGGCTGGGGTGCTGTGAGGGACCCGAGGTGCTCCACTGGGGAAATCTCTCATTTATCTCTGGACCTGTTTTACTGAAGGAGCTGGACGGCAGCAAGGGAACAGAAGAGGTTTCTAGGAGTAGCTGTCTGTGTTGCTGGAGGAAATTTGGGCTTGGCGCTGAGGGGTCAGTACTTGACGCTAATGAGGGCATGGCCAGGTGTTGGTGTCTTGGGAAGGGTGGTTTACTCTGATTATCCACGGGCACACCTGGCTCTAGGAAATCAGCCAGTGTTCAGTAAAAGTGGAAGGCTAGTGAGATAAGGGGTACCTGGGTGGTGCAAATGGTTAAGGAGTTTGGCCGCTGATGGAAGACTGGAGGTTCAAGTCCACCCAGAGGCACCTTGGAAGAAAGGCCTGGTGATGTACTTTCAAACAATCAGCCACTGAAAACTCCATGGAGCACAGTTCTACTCTGACACACATGGGCTCGCGAATAGTTGGAGTCTATTCCCTGGAAGTGGTCCTGGTTAATGAGCGAGGTGTGCTCAGCAACGCGGGCAAGAGCCCATACTGACATGTCAGGAGCTCCGGCAGGCAGCGTTCACCTCGCTGCGGGTTGTTTTCTTGCAGGCTTTGGACTTCACTATTGCCCGGAGGGGGCTGCTGTGGGAGGGAGAAGTGGTACCGCCTAGAGCAGAACCAAGGAGCTGTCATTGATGAGCAGAAAAAGTAAGCGTGTGCTATTTCGTCTAATCTGCCTGTACCTGCCCAGCCCACAACTATAACACAGGTGTGTGCTGGAAATGTCATAAATGACAAAGTGCAGATCAATTATTCTTTTCTCTGTGGAAAGGAATGCTGCCCTCCAAGTGGGAAACCGAGTAGATGCATACACACGTACCTGTAAGCTGTAATTAGCCTTTCCCTTAATTAGTTGTGTAATGAGTTCTGCCGTGTGCTGGAAATGGATTTTTTCTGTTAAAAAAAAAAAAAAGGAGGAAAGTGTTTGTCAGAACCCGCAGCGCCATTAGGGGCGATGGTTGCACAGACATGCATGGCCCGGCCGGCCGTTCTCCGCCTTACCGTCAGCAGTGGCATGGATGATAAGGAACTGCTGCCCCTCTAGCGCAGACAGGCGGTGGGCCACTTTGGTCATCTGCGCACACAGAGGCAAAGGGAGAGCATTAGCGGGAGGCACTGCAGGTATCAAGGTATTTTTATTGGGAAGTTGACTGAGAAGGTAAATGAAGTGTACCAGAAACACAAAGTTCCAGAAGAATGTGCACACTGAACGCAATGCACAGCTAATCTCAGGGGCCTCAGCCTTCCTTCCTTCATTAGTTTTAGGGAGAGGGTGGAAGAGAAGAGAGAAAAGGAAAAAGCATTTTCCTAACTACTGGTGGCCTTAGAGGGCCATCAGGGGAAAGGATGGGGTGATGATAGCCCAGTTGTCCAAGCCAAACATCTCCCTGCCCCAGAGCTCTGGCCTGCTCCGTGCAGACAGGTGAAGAAAGGCCTTGTCTAATACCACCTGGAGTTAAGTGAATTGTGATTTCTCTGCATGGTGCAAAAGGTTAAAGTGCTTAGCTGCTAATGGAAAGGTTAGAGGTTCCAGTCCACCCAGAGGCACCTTGGAAGAAAGCCCTGGTGATCTACTTCCAAAAAATCAGCCATTGAAAACCCTATGGAGTATGTCCTTTAAAGCCCACATGGGGACACCATGAGTCGGAGTCGACCCCACAGCAACTTTACTTATTTATTATCAGAGGTGCTTTCTGTTTCCTGATCAATAGCTTATTCTCCCAAAGCAGAATCAGCCTTAGGTACAGGAGTCATCTCCACAGAAGGCTTCTATGGGCCCAGGAAGGACTCTCCATCCAAACACTTTTTCAACTCCCTTCCTAGTCCCGAAGTCCTATAGCGAGAAGAGAAACTGCACATTTGCCTGAGAGAGGCCATGCAGACCTAACTGCACAATACGGCGTAAGGAGGGGTCCAAATGGTGTGCTTAGAGTGGGGTGTGCTGGTGGAGAGGGCAGAGCAGTGGGCCTGGGAAAGGGAGAGCATTCTAGAGCTGGGTCGGGGGCTAGAAGGGTGGGAGGAATGAAATTGGAGAAGAGGTTAAAGACAGAGGAGGCCGATTTCACCGGGCGCACTATTTTACCAAGTGGCAGTTATGCCAAGACATACCTCATACGCTCTGTTGTCAAGTCCATGGAGGCCCAGGTACCTTTCGGAGAAGGCAGAAGCTTGAACAGAAGCAGAGGAAGGAGAGTTACCTCTTGGCCTCAAGGCCCGCCAGGTGCAAAGCTCCCCAGAGGCTACATAAACACCCTGGGGCATGGGGGAAGGGCTACCTCCACTTGCCACAGTACACTTCTTTTTTTAAAAAAGAAAAAAAGAAAAAAAACACTTCAATCTCTCAGACCTTTACATGGGTAAACAGATGCTACAGTTGTGACATTTAAATATGTTAATGTTGGTTGGTGGTTGGAGTTTTTATCAGTACAGCAAACCTTAATTAAAGCAAAATCTAATTAATCTCAATCCTAAATAAACAGGATAACCCCTACTTCATTTCAGAATACAGAAAAAGGAACAGATACTAAGAAGGCAGATTTCCACTAGGGTTTAATTTTTTTTAATTCTAGGCATATCTGCAGCCCAATATGCTCCTCCCCCTGCAGCTACTCGTCAAGCCCAGGCTCCAGATCCCGGTTCTGGAGGGGGGCCTGAGGTCTGCAAGATCATTAGGGCAGGAGTGAGTCCTTCTACAGGGGCATGTCTGTCGGGGAGTCAGGGAGGAGGTGGCGCAAACCACTTCCACGGGGTTTCTGGTTAAGCCTCAGTTAATCAGAAGCAATGACTCACAGGATTTCTAGTCCTGGGCTCTGTGACAAATTTAGATGCTGGGCGGAAGCACGGATACGGATTTGAATTAGGCAAATTTGATATGGCATGATTAAAAAATCATCAAAATCTCACTGAATGTGAAAAATGTGAAATAGGCTGCGTGTTCTCCCCTGGGAAAAGTCATTTACAATTATTCTGAATTAGGAGAGTTCTTGTATAATTAAACGTTGAAATTTGCATTGGAAAGGACACTTTGTAAAGACAGTGCATCTGCTGTGGGCTGGCCAGAGGGCAGTGGTACCTGCCAGTCCCTGGATTGCCCCGTGGGTCCTGCGGGTGGAGGAGTGCGCAGCTCTGTCAGCAGGGCGGGCGCGGTGGGTGTGTGGCGACAGGAGCAGGCATCACTCGTTCCCGTCAGTAGTCACCCCCACCCACCAGCGGGACACTGAAGGCTCAGCACCCAGCACCCCCTGCAGCCCTGTCCTGATGCCAGTTCTCAGGGCCCCCACCCAAGACCTCTTGCACTCTTAACAACATGTGTTAGTGTCACAAAGTCACTCACATTCAGAAAAACAGGCTGGTTGACCAGAGGGAGGAGAATATGGGGAGCCCCAAACCCCATAACACTGACAACAAGGCCCCTCCGTGTCTGGGCAGGGGTCTGGTTCCCACGCCTGGGTGGTCTGATCACCCTCTGTGTCCTACAAGCAAGTCATCCCGACAAACCATCCTGCCCAGCCCCTGCCAGGAGAAGTCACTCTCTCCAGGAAGATGCTGGCCAGGTGCTGCATGCACTGTCAGAGGAAGGGCTGCAGAGAGCAGAGAACAGCTGAGTTCTGTAGATCTTTGCTGTGTCACCACCAAACAGGCACTATGTCTCAACTACTAACACTGCCCACTGGACACCTACTAACACATGACTCAAAGCTGGGCCTGGCCAGGCTCCAGGCTGAGAGCAGAGGGTGGAGCAGACCTCCCAGCCTGTACACACGGGCCAGGTATTCCTAACTTCCACCACTGCAAGCTGAACTGCTGGCTGTGTTTTCTCCTCCTGGGCTTGTCTCTTAGGAATGCGATTTATATGCATGAGTAGGCTGACTAATTTCATTGAAACAAATGACTTGAAATCTGGCCCTCTCCTTCCCCAGGTGCTTTCTGAGAGGTTTCACCTGTTTGCATAGGACCCCCATGGTAGTGGATAGCTGGAGTTAGGAGGGCAGGGGGAGTGAGCTGTTAATGCGGAGGTAGGGAGACATGCTGGGGGCTCAGTCCTTAGCTTGGTGGAGGCTATTTACCATAGAGCTTGAAGTCTGTTATTGGAGAGACAGCAGAGCCACAGGTGAAAATCTGACCTTGATTTTCACCCTTTGCTGGGAGGATGTAAGTGCTCAGGTACCCACCATAATCCTAAGAAAGAGCGAAAAAGAGAAAGGAGAGAAGTAATTGGGTGTACCTGTCAATAACTCAGTCATGAAAACAGCCTCAGATAACATGCAATCAGTGGCTCAAGCAACCATCTTCATGTAGTTTCTTTTTTTTTTTTTAATTTTAACTTGAGAAGTTTTAAAGGAAGGTAAAAAGGGATGAAAAGCAAATATCTTTTATTTTTTATTTTATTGTTGTATTTTAAGTGAAAGTTTACAATACAAAATTTTATACATACATTATTATGTCCCCCTAGTTTGCTCTCACTATACTGGGACAGCACACTCCTCCTTTCCACCCGATTTCCCGTGTCCATTCAGCCAGCTCCTGACCCTGTCCGCCTTCCCATCTCACCTCTGGACAGGAGCTGCCCATTTAGTTTCATGTATCTACTTGAGCTAAGAAGCACACTCTTCACGAGTATCATGTTATGTCCCATAGTCCAGTCTAATCTTTGTCTGAAGAGTTGGCCGTGGGAATGGTTTTAGTTCTGGGTTGACAGAGTCCAGGAGCCATGCTTTCTGGGGTCCCTCCCGTCTCAGTCAGACTATTAAGTCTGGTCTTTTTACTAGAATTTGAGTTCTGCACCCCACTTTTCTCCTGCTCTATCACGGACTCTCTGCTGTGTTCCCTGTCAGGGCGGTCATTGGTGGTAGCCGGGCACCATCTAGTTCTTCTGGTCTCAGGCTGATGGAGTCTCTGGTTTATGTGGCCCTTTCTGTCTCTTGGGCTAATACTTTCCTTGCGTCTTTGGCATTCTTCATTCTCCTTTACTGCAGGTGGGTTGGGACCAATTGATGCATTTTAGATGGCTGCCTGCAAACTTTTAAGACCCCAAACGCCACTCACCAAAGTAGGATGCAGAACATTTTCTTAATAAACTTTGTTATGCCAATTGACCTAGATGTCCCCTGAAACTATGGTTCCCAGACCCCTGCCTCTGCTACTCTGTCCCTCGAAGTGTTTGGTTGTATTCAGGAAACTTCTTAGGTTTGGTTTAGTCCAGTTGTGCTGACTTCTCCTGTAGTGTGTGCTGTCCTTTCCTTCACCTAAGATAATTCTTGTCTACTATCTAGTTAGTGAATAACCCTTTCCCTCCCTCCCCACTCTTGTAATCATCGAAGAATGTTTTCTTCTGTGTTTAAACCTTTTCTTGAGTTCTTATAATAGTGGTCTTATACAATATTTGTCCTTTTGTGACTGACTAAATTCACTCAGCATAATGCCTTCCAGATTCCTCCATGTTATGTTTCACGGATCCATCATCATTCTTTATCATTTCATAGTATTCCATGGTGTGAATATACCATAATTTGTTCATCCATTTGTCCGTTGATGGACACCTAGGTTGTTTCCATCTTTTTGCTATTGTGAACAGTGCTGCAATGAACATGGGTATGCATATATCTGTTCATGTGACGGCTCTTATTTCTCTAGGATATATTCCAAGGAGCGGGATAGCTGGATCGTATGGGACTTCTATTTCTGGCTTTTTAAGGAAGCGCCAAATCGATTTCTGAAGTGGTTGTACTATTTTACATTCCCACCAACAGTGTATAAGTGCTCCAGTCTCTCCACAACCTCTCCAACATTTATTATTTTGTGTTTTTTGGATTAATGCTAGCCTTGTTGGGGTGAGATGTATCTCATTATAATTTTGATTTGCATTTCTCTAATGGCTAATGATCGTGAGCATTTCCTCATGTGTCTGTTAGCTGCCTGAATGTCTTCTTCGGCGAAGTGCTTGTTCATATCCTTTGCCCGTTTTTGACTTGGGGGTTATTTGTCTTTTTGTTGTTGAGGTTTTGCAGTATCTTGTAGATTTCAGAGATTATAGACACTGATCGGATTTGTCATAGCCAAAAATTTTTCCCCAGTCTGTAGGTTGTCTTTTTACTC